GAAAAACACGGAAAATTGTACTATCGCGTTGGAAACACGCGACAAACTAACAGAATTCGTCCGGCAAATGGAAGAGACGTTCTCCCACAGTACCGTTTCGATACCGTTCAAGGCTTAGCGAGTACTGATCCGCTCGACAAACTTGTTAAAATACCGCGATTCATCGTTCTCCGCTAATCCATTACGTTGTTACGTAGCGAAAAGGAACGATGGATCGACTATAGTAAAATATACGGGGATCGTTCATTGTTTCACGACGATGAGAGAAATAATGCAAGTTTGCAAATTGAAAAGCGTGTATCAGTGGTGAAAGCATATTTCGCCAAGAGATGAAATTCACAAGAAAAAAAGAACTAAATTTCTTTTTTGATATAATTGAAATTTAATGGAACGATATATGTTTGAGAAATTCAAACTAGACTGTGGATTTTATGCATTTTGAATGGAACAGAAGAAATAAAACCTAAATAATAATTTGCTTCATCTATTAAATATTATAATGAATACTCTACTGTTCTATTTTGTATATTTATATGCTATCTTTTATATATGTATATATTTCCTGTATTTTATATATTTTTGCACATTATGTTTGCATTGTGTGCATTTCAAAATTCCCCGAGAATCTGTAGCCTAATCAGGTAGTAGTTTAGATTTTTCAAACCTAGTAAAATTTCATTCCATTATTAATTATGTTAAAAAAGAAATTTTTGACGTATTAAATATCTTTAATATAAAAAGAATTTATGCTAAAAACAAAAGAACTTATTTTAAATATCTTCGAATAATTTTAATCTCAGTTAAAAAAAAAAAGATCTCAATCCTACAAATTATAAAATTCCTCAAAAAAGTATACAAAAAATATTATCGCCTCAAACAGCAAATTCAGTAGTACAGAGTTATTGCAACTTAAATTTGGAATGAAGAGATTGTAAAACTACCTCAATTTTTTCAAAAAAGAATAAGATTATGTTTTTTATAAAGACGGAAACTCTTTCTCAAGATATTTTCGATACACTTTGTCCTAACATGTAAAAGAATATTCTTTCAAAATCGACTAAACAGGTAGCAACAATTGAAACAGGTAGTAACTTATTAAACGATGATAATATCTTTTCTAAACGTCTCAAGTCAATTAAAAACAGTTATATAAATAAATGGAGAAATAAAGAAATACACTGCTAAACAGACAAATCCTGTATCTGCCAACAATAATATGAAAATATTACGAAAGCGGAGAAAAAATACGACATGGAAAGATTTCTCACAAGTGATGAACAAAAGAGGGGAAAAAAGGCACATAATATAAAATGAAACACCAAGTGTGAAGGAAAACTTAATTGTAAACTGATTTATCGCCAAGTTAGTTCACTTCCCTTGACGTAAATTCCAAGTGAAAGTTCTTAGAGCGGCTGAACTCAAGATTGTATGCAAAGCATCTTCGTAGACAATTGGCTCTTCTCCGTGAGACTTCTCTGTTATTTCTGTTTTGATCAAACATCGATTAACGTACCCGTCGCGCAATATGTTTTATCATGTGTTTCGTAATTACGCTGATCAACTTCTACAATTTTATAATATCTTTTAATACGACAATGATAATAATAACAAACAAACAAATAATTTTTCTCAACAAATGATAAAATGATTATTTCAACAAGCAAAATAATTTTTTGTTTTATATTTGTCTCTAATAATTCCTAATTCTATCATGTAGATATTGTCAAATAGAAAATTTCTCGCAATGTCTCACGCATTGACAAATACAGACATCCAAAAATAAATAATTGTAGAGGATCATTCGTCGTCGACTACTCTGTTGAAAATTCTCATTTAACTCTTGGAGTTAACTCATTTTTACTGAGATTATTTATTATTTTATTTCAACGAATTAACTCAAATGAAAGATTATTTTCAAATGATTTGTTTGATCTGGCCAAAGGATAAAGTTACTTTCTCTTTCCAAAAGTTACTTTTGAAAATGAAAATGAAAATAAAAGATTAGTGAAAACAGATTTATTATTTTAAATTATTATCTTTTTTTTACTTTCATTCCAAATAAAATTTACCCAATTCTTCAATTCAAGATAATATCAATTATACATTAAACATCCTGTAAATGGTGATAATGAAGTGTAAAGAAGGAAATTTGTTTAGAAAGCCTAAAGGAATCCTTCGAACTCACAAATCTGTTAGCATTAAATTAAAACTATTTTAAGCAAATGATCCTCAAAATTTTATTTATTCTAAGGTAATCCTTGTTACTGTATGCGAAAAGTAGTGCACATAAGAAAGAATAAGTTAAATATGCTTCGTGATTTAGAAATTTATGTAACAGATTGAAACTTAGGGGTGAAAAATTAATGATCAAAATGAACTTTAACTCTTCTGTCTGATCGATATTTGCAAATTAAAAAATACCAGAGATTTTCGTAAAATGAACGTTGTGTCTATGAAATTACTTACTGGCAAAAACTGGTAAAAAATTTCGTTGATTAAAGAATTCGTTGTATCAT